GTAACTATAGGGAACTTGCAATTATTTGCATCTCTGAGACAAATCTTTCAATTATATGTGTATTCCCTATTGACATTACCAAAAATATTCATCATTTCTCCCCCCTTGCCCAGGAATAGTATAGACCAGAGCAATAGAAAAACTTGTTGGGGAAAACAGACAGAACTAAATATGACATTTTTATCAGTGAAAAGTAATGGCTTTGATCTCTGGAATATAATCAAAAGCAGCAGTAAGATGCAGACCTTTTAGCATGCATTATGTTAAATCACTGTTGGCCCCAGGGCATCACTGCCACTTTCTTCTAAGACTGGAAGCTACATTTTACATTTTTCAGAATCCCCTTCTTTGTGTGGTTCTGGGTAAGAGTTTGCCAATGTGAAGAATTTGCCTGAGGGAGAGTTGAAAGATGGAAATTAAGAGGAAGCCATTGTTTTTTCAGAGATGTTTGTGGCTAGATGCTTGGATAGATAAAAGATTCATAGTAGCTTTCCAACAAATTTTTGAGAATAACTCACTTCACCTGAGACGGTGGTAGTGTGTGAAGTTTCCCAAATATTACAGCGGCTCCAGGAAAGCTTCCCCCAAATACCTGCTTGGTGCTCTATGCTGACATCTTCAGCATCAACCCCTCCAATCTTCAGTGGCTGCTCTCCTGAAGTCTCCCTCTCTACCCTCATCTAACTATCCTGTGAGCTCCCGATTCTGAATTAAACACTGCATTTCTGGGAGACATCAAATGGCTTCTATTGTGCTGACTGACTCTTGGTGATGCAGACATAGTCACAGTTAGGACAGAGAAAATATTCTGTTTATTAAATATTGTAAATGGCTGGAATATCAGATACATCATCTCAATAGGTATATATCAAACATTTCAAAATCTAATTTAGATTACCTAGATTTCTTCTTTGTTCTTCTGTAACAATGACAGCACTAAGATCATTATATGTTTTATTAGTTTCTTCACTCTTTAAAATATTTTTTTAAATGATGTTCAAATAAACTTCAAGGGGTATCTTCAATGTTTTCTGAACAAAAAGTTTCAGTTCTTAAGATATGGGCTTGTGATTCATATTCTTGATGTTACTCAATGGCGTTTTATCTATAGTAGAAGAAGGAAATCAAATTTCAATGAATAGCAGAAAATCGTTTAACCCTAATTCATTATTTGCTGCCTCTTTCCCTCAGACTTAAAGTTCTTTTGGTTCTGTTTGTCACAAGACTCAGCACTGTTTTCATAAGATCTAACCAAGATCATATTTAAAGGTCAAAGCAGTTGGCACTGAAATGGAGCTTGCATGGTATGTGACCCCATCTTGGCAAAGGATTGTTTTTAAGAAACTTCCAAGCCCAGTAAAACTAATTAATTTTTTCTGATATCCTTCAGGGAAAGACCATTAATATTCACAATGCATCATAACATTTCTTTCGTTTCTTTCCCCATTATTTTCCTTCTCCTTTTCTTTCTATTTTTCCATTCAATGTAATAAATAACCATAAATCCTTCCCTAGTGCTTGCTATGTACCAGGCACTATTCTAGATACTTCACATGTATTAATACATTTAATCCTTACAATAACCGTATGCTTAGGTGCTACTATTAGCACTATATTACAGATGAGGAAACTGAGGCTCAGAGGGGTTAAGTAATTTGCCCAAGAGCACAGAGCCAGTAAGTGGCAGGGGTCAATGGTAAGTGCAAGTAGCAGCAGGTTATGATGCTTCTCAAAGACTTTTATCAACCTGACCTGTTTAGCACCTCTTTCTTCCCTTTCTCATTTTCCCCTTTCTCTGTGTCTTCTGTCTCCAGCCAGTAATTCTCTGTCTCTTCCACTGAAATTTTAGCAATCCAGTCAACATCCTCCATTTCTTTTTTCCATCCACTACACCTCAAGAAGAAGGTGAAGAAAAGCTAGGAGGTGATTAGCTGGCCTGAACTCTCCTTTGAGGAAGGAGGGGGAGAAGAAAACAAGGGAAGGTCTTAAAGAGGGCTCTGTGAATACCTATGGATGGTGGTTACCTTTTCTCTGGCTAAAGAGAAATTTGTTTTGTATTCTGTGTTTAGGAGTCAAAGAAATACCAAAAACAAGTAAAAACCATGGCCCCAGTGATCAACAGAATAAAGTCTGAGTGAGAATGGAAGTTAAGAACTTGGGAGAGCAGGTTATAGTATAGCAGCGCATGTGGTCCTTGAGCCAATCTCTTTCCCCCTTTTCCTTCCTGACGTTCTGTTCTTTTTTTCCTTAGTTTGATTCCAGGCACAGTCTCAGAAGCAACATTAGTGGGAGTGAAGATGATCTGCTATTGATCATATAAGGAAGGATTCAGATGGCAAATAAACACATATAAATAGAATATAGAGAAGGAGCCTAGTTTAATACAGTCAGAGTGGAGCTGAAAAGTTTTGGTGGTCATAGGGTTTTCTGTGCCACAAAAATCTCAAATAAAATTAGATAAAATAATATATCCTTAGGGTACTTTCAAACCCAGGGAAACTCAAGCTTTTATTTTTATTTTTCTCAAGAATATCTAATCAAATAAGTACTTAATAAATTTTGCTTTCCAGTTTTCAAACCATAGCCCTATTATGATCTTGTTATTTTTATAAGGGGGTGCATATACTTCCAGAATGACACCACTGTTAGGAGAAAAACATACACATCCACGTTGCCTCTAAGCCAGACTGATCCAGTATTAAGCTTCAAGAAGAAAATTTCTTATCATTTTTCAAATTATAGTACTCCAGCATATTTTGATATTCATAGCCCTTAGGTCTTTTGAAATGTCAAATAGCACATAATTACTTTTTATGTTAAAACTCCTACAGATTAACTTTAAGAAATATTTAAGAGGTCTGCTGCATTTTGTGTGTGTGTGTATGCATATGTAATCATTAGAGCTACCCTGGTATGCGTAGGAATTAGGATTGAAAAAATATGTTGGCTGTTGGTATTTGAAAATTTAAGATTAGAGACCAGGCTGGGCACAGTGGCTCAGGCCTGTAATCCTAGCACCCTGGGAAACCAACGCTGGCGTATTGTTCAAGGTGAGGAGTTCGAAACCAGCCTGAGCAAGAGCAAGACCCCATCTCTACTAAAAATAGAAAGAAATTAATTGGCCAACTAAAAATATATAGAAAAAATTAGCCGGGATGGTTGCTCATGCCTGTAGTCCCCGCTACTCGGGAGGCTGAGACAAAAGGATCGCTTGAGCCTAGGAGTTTAAGGTTGCTGTGAGTGAGGCGGACACCAGGGCACTCTAGCCCTGGCAACAGAGTGAGATTCTGTCTCAAAAAAAAAAAAAAAAAAATTAGAGACCAAACAAAATGCAGTTTAATCTTATATGCACAAATATAATCATCAGAACTTTTTAAATAGATATTTTATATCTATTTATGGGCCCTAACAAGTGTGGGACAGTTCCAGAAACTCTAAGAAAGCTTCTATTCTTCCTTTGGTTCCTTGATTTCTGAAATACAAACAAATCTTAATTCTAATGATGTCAAGAGTTTTTTATTGCCTTCCCAGTAGTAGATTTTAATAGGGAGCAAGCGAAGAGAAAGAATTCATTTCAGGAAAATGAATGGGAATAGACAAGGCGTTAGTGGCATTGGCCTGCTGAAAATGTTGAAGGCCACCCTCAAGCCAATAAAGTAGTGATTCATTCATTTAAAACTGGTGAATTTTTTGAGAGGGATGAGGATAGAGGGATGAGAGATTTGGCCAAAATATAAATTAGTGATATCTTAAATCCATGTTGTGGAATATGTGCTGTCTCACCTCCTATGTCATAAAATACTGCATCACATTGGACAGTTGTATCTATACATTAAAATTCCTTAAGTGCACATCAAAATTGTAATAATAAGATATTTCTATAATATTAAATAACACTAAAATGGTATTATTTTTAGTTTTGGAGGCAAATAATAAATGCTTATATATTTTTTTATTTTGGAGATAAAAGAAAATAAAGCATTAATAAAAGTCAATTACTGAGTCTAAGAGATATGCAGATGTTAGTATCTAGCATTTAATTTCTCTTTAAAATTTAAAATACCTGTATTTTCTTTTCACATTTGGCTCCAGAATATGCAGTGCGGCAAGAACACACATTGGGAAATACACATCTGCCTCCATAAAGACACTTTTGGTTGCAAATTGCTGCAATACACAAATTTTTATAATGACTGTCTTTTGACATGGAATGCTTGTGCCATATTCTATTTCAGTGTCCGAAGCTATTTGGTGATAGACACTAATGTAGTCATAAGAATCTACTAATGAACCATCTATGGCTAGATCTAATCTATGCACTCCCATCTTTCAGAACACACACATCCAAAAAACAAAGCACCCAAAACCCAAACAACACTTTTTTTAATAATTCTATAAAAGTATTATTAAAGGAAACAAAAATTTCATTGGCTATATTTTAAAGTACTTGAAGTATATCTTATTTTTTGTGAGGGGATTTCAAATCTGTAACAGAAGATAGTGTTTATAAAGAAAAATTGACATTTTTTTGTACTATAATATTACTGGAACTTTAATACGAACAACTCGATTGGAAACTTTTAAAAGATGTTCCCATTGTCTTTACTAGAAATTTCTTCCTTGAAATCTCTCTTAAGGCAATTAAAAAACATCTGTATCTATCTCAATATCTATCTATCTATTTATTGTCAATCATTTACCTGTATAGAGAAAATACTTATAATAATAATTAATAGATAACTAAAGTGCTCAACATACAGGGAGAGGTCAAGGAAATTATAGTATTTATATTATGGAACTTAATACATTGCTTATAATTATGTTTTTAAGGGACATGTAAATGTCTTTAAGTAATATTGAGTGAAAATGAGCATACTATAAAATTATATGTTAATACAATACAGTTATTTTTCATGGGCAAGGTACTGCTTCAATATTCATATTGAAAGCTTGCACAATTCAAGATTAATATAATATGCTTTTGATCTAAATAAAACATTGACAGGGTATGTTTCATTAAGGCTGCTACATGCAGTTGGGTGGGTTGTGTAACGCACAAACGCTCCCCAGCTAAAGAAGCACCATTCATATCAAAGATAACATAGATTTCAATATTTATTTCCAGCAGATGGCAGTAACACATCTTGTTTAAAAAAAAAATCATCATTGTATTGACAGTTTCTCAATAGATAGTTGGAAATAAAGCATTTTGAAGAAGTGTGATTTTTTTTCTAATTCACATAAAAATGCTACAGAGTGCAAAACAGGGTACACAGCTTCAGACATCCTCATTGGAGCTTCAGATAATCACTGGAGCATTATCTCCACATTAATGTGCTTTTAACATCTTCTCACCATTGTCTCTCATGGTCCTCACTCCACACAGACCTCACTCCAGAATGAGCAGCCCACGTTGAGGTTGCTAGTTCTTTTTTTTCTACCATTTTATCACATATGACTTCCAATCAGAATTACCAATTTCTGAGCACATTTTTCTTGTGTAAATACTGGCACTTAATAATACTTTGATATATTTTTCTGGGATAAAAGATACATGAATTACAATTATAAATTACTAATAAAATGAGATCTAAGAGTCACAAAAATTATATGCAAAATTTCTGATGAATGGAGACAACAGTTTGGTTCGTGAGACACTGAAATGCAGGACAAATATCTCTAGTAAAAATGAATGCTCATGATATGACTGTGTAATTCAGTGTACAATGCTGTCGCCAGACTTAAAATTATATAATTAATGATCATTGAAAATATTTTGAGAGGATTTCTAAATTTTTCCTATTAACTTGATTTTTGTTACTTTAACATGTCACTTCAATTTTTCATAAAAATTTCAAAATTGCATAGAATTTGATTTTCCCCTATTCCCTAAGAATTCATCTATATAGAAATTAATGGCTAAAACTGGATGGAAATATACTAAAATACTAAAAAAGAAACAGAAATTAATTCTGGATGGTGAAATTCGAAGTGATTAATTTTTCTATACTTTTTCATATTTCCTAAGACTTTCCGTGATATGTATTTATCTTATAATATGAAATGCTATTTAAACTTCCGTATGTTAAAACTTTCTTTGGCCCACCTGAGGGAACTTTACTGGCAACCCACAGACTATAATTTGAAAGTATCTATGCCACACAAAATATTAATATATTGTACCATACTTTCTTCTTTTAGATGGATATAAAATCGACTAAGTTTTCTTTTTATTTCTAAAACCAGTTTTTAAAGGATTATCATGCTAGAATTTTTTTCCCCTATGGATTTCTCCTAAAGCTATAGTTTTCTTATTGTAAGAGGTACAGTTTCAGAACACATAATAGGAAAGAAATCCTGCAGGCTTACGTATTTGACACTGTACTCCTTCCCAGCCAGAAGGACAAAGGCATATGTTGGGAGCAATGCATTCACCACCATTCTTACATTTCTGAAAGCAGATAGCTGCCAACAGAAATATAAACAAGTTAAAACTTTTAGTTACTGGTCAAATCCTATTATAAACCACAAAACTTTTCATCAAGAAAAAAAAGTTAAACAGCAAAAAGTTAGTGATTAAAGGATATTTTCCCTTAACATTTTATGAAGAACATTTTCTAATGTCTCTACATATTCTTGGCAAATGTGCTTTTAAAGGTTACACACTGTCCCATTATTTGATTTAACTTTTCCCCAGTTGTTGGACATTTACGTTGCTTCTCACTTTTCACTTTGATGGAAATACTATAATAGCTGCTAATTTTAAATAATTTATAGAAAGGAAAAAAAATGAAACATTTGAATGATGAGAGCCGTCATCATCTCAAAAACTAACCAGATTGAAAGGCATGGGCACCCCATCTTGGAAAGGTCTGAACTAGTTGGTTTGAGGTGGGGCTAAGGAACCAGTAATTTTTTAAAACCTTCCCTTGATCCCTACTTCAGATTAGATACTTAAGAACTATTATTTATCCTGGCAAGTGTATTAAAAAAGCTAAAAAAATCTAATATATCCTCTTCTGCTAACCTGAAAGAATGTGTTCAGAAGACTTTGCTTTTTACTCTTTCTATTTCAAAATGATATCTCCTAAAGAAGAAATAATTAAGCAAAAATGGAAAACAAACATGCAAGCAAAAACAAGAAAAATGTTCTTTTAAATTCCGCCTTATGTTTCCATAAAGGATGAAAGCTTTAGCATGTTATTAATAAGAGTATTCCTCTTACGTGTGTTGCATCGTTTCCCATTCCAACCAGAAGGACAAGAGCAAATGTTTGGTCCCACACATTTTCCTCCATTCACGCACATAGGATCACAGATGCCTTAAGGTAAAAACATGAAAGATCAGCCCTTAAACAGCAATGTTTTTGTGTCTGCTTTCCCTGTAGTTGGCAAATACATTTAGTGGTATCTTACTTTTTTGGCATCTCTTGCCAGTGTATCCTTCACGACAGACGCACACATTATTTCTCATGCAGTGGCCACCATTCTTGCAGGGAGGGTGACAGAAAGCTAAAAGAACACATGGCAGCAATCTGTGAATATCACATATTCAATTATTACATATTATTCATTGCATCATGTGCTTGTTATTTATGGGGACTTAAGGCAGAGGAATGGGCTATTTAAATAAAAGATCACTACTGCGAGTCATTTAAAACTGTCCTTTCCAAATCATAAAATACAATGCTTATAGCTATAAGCTGCTAGTGGGTTTGCACAGTTTGAAATGTATTGGTGAAGTGTTCATAACAAATTGAGTCTTTGGAACTACAGTGCATAGATTAGGAACCTTAACTTATGTTTCACCATACAATGAAGTGTGAAATGATCTGGAAAAAACCAAGAAAATAAATGAAATCCTAGCTCAAAAGAAGAATGTACCTGTTCTTGTGGAAATTAGAAAAATCTCATCAATGTGTCATATTTAAAATATACTTTTAAATTAACTTTTGAGTACCTACTGAGGTCATGAAGGCAGAGCTTTATATGTGCCTTATTCCTGGGAATGCCTCATAAAAATATTTTTAACAATAAATCCTTGGCTTTGCTAGGAATACTTTTAGATAATTTCAAATATACTTTACTAGTATCTTCTATATATATGATTCTGTTCTATGAAATTCAGAGATTGATATTATTTTTTTATGAGAGGATTATTCTTATTTCATGCTTCTTCCAGATATGGAAATTAAATGTAGTTTTTAAACAATAATACACAGTCAAATGTGTCTGGAAATTTTTAAATTTAATTTCTCCCTAAATGATAATGAAATGGATTTTAGTCTGCATTTTAAAAATAATTTCAAATTAACTGGTTTTGGTAACAGGGCTGCTATAGATCGACTCCCAGTTTGAATTAGATCTATCTTTAATGGCTGCTTTTTGTAGTTCCCAACACTGTAAGAAAAATTCCACTGATTTCAAATGGAATTCTAAATGGAAATAATGTAGCACTTTAAGTGTGAAAACAATATAACTAAATGTTCTTAGTAAATGCATAGTTTCCCTTATTTTAGGTTGAGCCTTTTCTGGTTGGTGCTTGAGGCTACCATTCTTTCTCTGGCATTTTATTGGTACTTTTTATTAGTGAAGAAAATGCTCTTACATTTTCTGTTGCTTGTCCTTTATAAATTCAAGACTATTTCTACTTATTAAGAAAAATGTATTCTTTCCATTACAAAACACCATAGGAAATGCCTATGATTTGAAATGTAAAACTAAAAAAAATCCCTGCAAATTGTTTATGAAATTGCTAATTAATAATCAACCACGAAGACTTGAATGTAGAGATAAATACTACACTTGCACAGAAAAAGCACATATAATTAAAATGATATATACAGATGATGTAAAACTTAGGCTTGGCCATGTCCACCCATAATTCTACATTAGGAAGATGAGGTTTATGAAAAAAATCCATACTCCACATATATTTATGAGATTCTATAGGCCTCTAATAGCTCTCCCACCAAACCCCAAAGTTAGTCAAATAATTGGGGCTCAACTTCTGTGTGGAATTCAAGGGGTTAAGGAAACTGGAAGGTATATTTGAACACCTCTTCAGCCATACATTTTAAGCTTTTTACTTATTATTAGAGTAGTTGAACTCCTTCATGATGTTTCTAGCTCAATTTCTGTCTTCCTCATTTGAAATTCTATAGCACACACAGTACATGTTCCTCATATTTACTTTAAACCATATTGTGCCTAATTTTATTCAATCACTTTTTATGTGTGTGCCATCTTCCCTTCCTACCATTTGAGTTACCAAGGGGATATGATCTAATACGAATTGCACTTCACAGCAACTATCTAGATCATACTTGAAAGCCAGGAAGTCTGAGACCTGGAGACTTTAAGTAAATCTTCAAAGCCCATGCCAGCTAGGAAGTTGTAGAGCCTAGCTAATTCCAAAACCAGCTCTCTTTCTACCACAATAACATGTTTAACATGTTTCCTGGCTCTTAAAGCAAGACATATGTTCAATAAATAATTTTTAGTTCAAGTCAATAATTTAGAGATGCCCTCATTTATCCAGTACCCAGTTGGCATATATATATATATATTTTTTTTTTTTCAGGGAAGAATTTTTTCTTACTATATCTTACATCTACTATACCTAGCATATCAAACATAACCTTTTCATTTCCCTGCTTATATTCTCCACTCAAAATTACACCTATACCTCTTCAGCATGGCTTTAGCCATAATCGTCTAGTTTTAAGATTTGTCTTAACTTAGTCTTTACTTCTTTCCATTTTGAAAACTGCTTCCTCAAAGGAAGTCTGAATTAGAGTAACTCATTCCCTATGCCGATACAGCCTGTGTTAGAGTGATGATTTCTTCTCCACTTCAGTTTCATCCTAAGAATCCTAGCCAACATCCAAATAAAAGAAATAGAATTGCAAATCAGTGTATCATGCCAAGGAAAATACGAATTTTAGGAATTAAATTATGGAAATATTCTGACATGTTCTATACTAAAAAATCTACCTACATTTTGTATAAATTAGAATAATATGAAGATGCAGAGAATGCACTTTGAATTTTATTTATTGGCATTAATTTATACCTACACTCCCACCCTGAAGACTCCCATTATTCTGAAAAAAAAAACCCATAACATTAACTATATGAAGAAAGATGTTAACATAATGGGCTGTGAAAGGGGAAAATGATGCATCTTTATGTCCCTATCTCATCTCTCATAGTGCTATGCATAGGTGACTCTTCATAAATATTAAATGAAACTAAAGTGAAGAGAGATCATGGTATAGTAGTGGACAGTAGATTCGCCATAAATGTAATATTTTTACTAAGAAGCAAAAAAAAAAAATGATACCATTTCATTACAATAGACTGCAAGAGAATTTTGTTTATATTTTTCATACCTCAATCCTACAAAACTGCATAGATAAGCACCAAAGTTGTGAGCCTAATGTATATTGAATAAACATAACCATTTTACATAATAACCCTGATATATTTGTCTGAACTGGTCATTTGATGGGCATATATGCAACATCACAAGAATTGAGGAAAAAATAAATAGCATCTTCCCCTTTGAAACTTGTCTCTTGTTTACTCAGAGCTCAGTGGATGTTTAACTTTGCATTTGCCCTTTTTACTCACAAAGGAAGAATAATTACCATTCTGACACTGTGCACCAAAGAATCCACTTGGACAGAGGCAAATGTTTGGCTTATTACAGGAACCACCATTGAGGCAAACGGGGTCACACAAAGCTAATGAACAGCAGGAGGGAAAGAGACCATAAAAGTTTTATTATTTAAAAAATGAAAGCTGCACAGACATACAAAATGGCACATAATGAAATATTTTATTTTTACTGCAAGTAAAACCCATAACGTATAATTAATTAGACTTTGCCAAACATAAGAGGAATGAAATAACTGGATAATTGCTTTGAAAGTGTGTTCATTAAGTTTACAAATAATACTAAGCTGAGAGTGTGGAGGCTATGATTAGAATTCAGGATGCCTTCAGTAAGTTGAAAGAAATGATTACAAGTTAAGAGAAAACAGTTCAACAGCGCTAACAAGATGGTTTGTAATCTCCTCAACTACATGTGTTCACGCACACCTCTTTATCTCCTTCCCAATTAAAATTGGCACAGTGCCCTCAAGTCCTTGCACACTCAAAAACATTCTTCGTATTTGTTCCTTTACTTTTGTTTTGCTTTGAAAGCTACCCCCAATTCCATTTGTTACCTTAGATTTTACCCATTCACCCAGGTCTTCTACCAATCCTGTGCTCTTCCCAACTTCACTTGCCAGAATTAATTTCTGTCTTCTCTGCTTCTGAGAAACTGTGCTTCAATTATGTTACTTATCATAGCCCAATTTGTATCATCATCTTTTTTTAATAATTACATCCCATGTCCCCCATCACTAACAATATGCTATTTAAAATCAGGGCAAAAATCAAATTGATCTTTGTTTCCCTTTGCATCATGATCCATACACAGTTAAGAAGCTATAAACGCTGAATTAAATTTTCATTGAGAAAAATCATTATATCATAATGGATTAGATTAAACATAGATAATTGCAAACATTGCTGCCAAAGAAGCAAGCCTGATACTGTGATAAATTACTGGAATAGCATGATGGGTGTCCACTTGACTCATAATTGCTTAGATATTTAATGAAATAGAATGTCTGTCTGTATTGTGATCAAAAACTTAAAACTAAACATAAAAGATACAACACAGATATTTTTTTCTCCACCATAAGACTGGTGGATGAGGAAAACATAAAGGCACACACACAAAAAGTATCAAATAGGATAAGAGGAAAACTCTAAGATACTGTATGGCCCAATATAAAAAGAAAAAGAATGAAGATAAAAGAGTTTTAAGTCTGTCTGAAATAACAACTTCTTACCTGTTTTGTTTCATCAGTTTTATGTTTCTTAGGTGCAAGTGTTCCTTAGGTGCAAGACATTGGCACATTTTAAATTTCCATTAATTGACATGTTCATTTAAAATATTTCTGATTTTACCTGTACCACAGGTGGGTCCGTACCAGCCAGGCTTGCACTGGCAAACATCAGGTGTAAGACATGCACCTCCATTTTCACAGTGCCTGTTACAAACCACTATCATAGGATAAACATAAAAGAAAAGTAAATTAGGCTGGAATGGTCATATTGTTTGCTATTACTTAGCTAGCTCATAACTGCCAATCACATCTGCTAATGATTAAGATCAGAAAGAAAGATAAAACATAATTTATACTTTGGCTTTAAATGCTCTTTGATCACATTCAATTATTTTTTGGCTAATAGAAATAGGGAAAGCAGAAAACCATTGAGCTGAATGGTAAACAAGATTTGGCTGTTTGGGAAAATTATTAGTTACTGATAAAAGCAATCATAGACATAAATGAGCAATTTATATGCAATTTAACAAATCTGAATTCCTATTATCTCAAAGAAAGTTCATGGATAGTGTCAAGGGAATAGTTATTTCAGGGAACAAACTTCTTTATGTTAGTACTGGCTGCCATGGCTGCTCTCAGTGCTATGCAAGATGGTACCATTATCATAAATCATGAATGTGTGTTCTTTACTTAGGGTTTGGGTTCTTTGCATATAGCATCAAAGCCATCGACTATTCAAGGGAGCAATTTCATTGTGTCAGACTGCAGGAGAGCTCTGCTTACTTGTTTCACACCTTGGTCCTACAAAACCGTACGGACAAGTGCAGAGATTGCCAGCCAAGCAGGTGCCGCCATGTTGACAAGGTGGGTTACAATGTTCTGCAGACATAGATTATGTTATTAAATCAGTTATTAATTTTAAAAAAGTCAGTTTATATTTATGAAACACAGACACAACAAAACCTTGTTCTAAGAGCAATTTATAATGAACTCAACTCTCTTTTATGATAAAATTTAGTTCTGTGAGATAGATTATATGAATTCACATTCTGAAAACACCAACAAATCATCAGCATGTTTTGGTTTATAAGACTTTTGGTTAACTGGAACAAAATATATCAATCACCTTAGGCTTCTATTGCAAAGTGAGACTTGAACATCTATATTCCTGCCCTATAAATAGAATATTTCTATATTTGCATAATTATTTTCATAAGCAATTAATATTGAATACTTCTGTCAGTTCAACATAAATTTAATGTGTTAATTGTAGCTTGCTTAGTCATGAAAGCATTTAATACAGCTCTCAGCTTATTTATAATTATATTAATATGTAACATCTATGAAAATATATTCTTTTAAAATACTATTTTAAAAATAAACAACACATTTATTTCTTTAAAATATCACCCACTTTAGGAAATGCAATTGCCTAAATTCACCACTTAAAAAGAATTTCAATATCTATTCCTGTCTGTGGTTAAAAAAAAAAAAAAAAAAAAAAAAAGAATTTCAATAAAAGCAATGCAATTATATGGCTTTTGATGTATTTTTAAAAATCACTTTTTAGGTTTCTTCTTACTACCTTACCTTCTAATTATTTGGCATTTAACACTTCCTTGGAACCATGTTTGATAAGTCATTCGATAATTAAATGTCTTTTGCTTGAATACTTGTAGAGCTATGGTACCTGGTAACTAACTCTCAAAAAATGATTTTGGAAGATAATTTTACTAACAACAAATAAACTATTGCTCTTCAGATCTCTGATTTCATAAATCTAAGTTTTTTAAATCTTCAAATTATTTTTGTTAATAATAAGTATTAAAAACAGACTCCTGCATCAGCATTAATAAATATATATATTAGTATATACAGAGTAAAACTGAATTATACTGTAAAATTATTTTAAAGAAAATAATTCATATTTTAGCCCTGGTAGTTGATCTTTAATTTGCATTGTCACCTTCATCACAGGTTGCTCCACCACGTCCTGGAGGACATTCACAAATGTTAGGCTTAATACATCTTCCATGGTTTTTGCAATCAGGGTGACATATAGCTGTATAAAATAAAGCCCAGGTTTTAGAAATATCAATTACCAAATAAAATTCATTATATAAACTAATGAATGATGTACCTACCAGTCTGGCAGTTAGAACCAATGTAACCAGGTTTACATTTGCATATGTTTGGGGCAACACACTCCCCATTTTTTCCACATGGGTGTCTACAAATGGCTGCAAAAATCAAGAAAAATGGTCTGAATTGTTGATACAGTATATACATGTTGCCCATAGACTGTTATAATAAAAGTAAAATTTTCTGAAATTTGAACATTTTGATACTGTTATTAAACAACCACCACTATATGTACACATAAAATTATGTTGTTTTCCGGCTAGAAAGACTGATTAAAATGATTAATAGGGTAAGAAAGAAGTACATATGTGACAATTCCATAGCAGAACTTGATGTTGGAAATAGCTGCTACCTATATATGGGATTATAGTCTTTTTTCAGAGGGCAATGAAATTTTAGATGCCAATCAGATAGATGTTGGTGAATGACAGAGATAATCAGAATTTTAAAGAGCAAGAAGCTAAGAATACATTATAAGCTAAGAAGTTTGTTTTCTTTAAGTTTCTCTAACTACCTGATATATTCTATTTGGCATTTAACACTTCCTGAGGTAATTGAAATGCATGGAGTTGTTTTGTTTTACTTGCTAATAATAAGGAGTTTTATAATATAAACATGTAAATATTGAGGGTTATTATTATTACTATTTCTACAGAAAAAAAGAAATTTTTCTTTTTTCATCTAGGTTATACTGAGAATACTGGAATACGCCCATAGCGCTCTTGCTTAAGTTTGGTCTCAAATAAACCAAAACACAAACAAAACAACAATAACAAAACAATAATACAAAAACAGCTTCTATGTTATCACAGCCAAATATAGGATTTGCATCAGAGAAAACAATGCTAATAATTGTGAAAAGATAGAAACAATACTTTTTTTTTTTTTTTGAGACAGAGTCTCGCTTTCTTGCCTAGGCTAGAGTGAGTGCCGTGGCGTCAGCCTAGCTCACAGCAACCTCCAACTCCTGGGCTCAAGCGATCCTGCTGCCTCAGCCTCCCGTAGCTGGGACTACAGGTATGCGCCACCATGCCCGGCTGATTTTTATATTATATATATTAGTTGGCCAATTAATTTCTTTCTATTTTTATGGTAGAGACGGGGTCTCGCTCAGGCTGGTTTTGAACTCCTGACCTTGAGCAATCCGCCCGCTTCGGCCTCCCAGAGTGCTAGGATTACAGGCGTGAGCCACCACGCCCGGCCAGAAACAATACTTTTAAAACTTAAAGTAATATACAACTTGTTTTAATCTCAAAAACGTTGGAGGAGCTACAGAGAACCAAGTTTATGCAAGTAAGAGTAGATGACGGAATTAGTAATTTGAATTGCTAAATGCCCACCGTGAGCTGAAAAGAACCCAGACAACAATATTAATCACAATTATAATCACATCTTTGTTTTATCTCCTTAGCTGCTTAATGCCAGGAATGTCAGTTAGCCCACCAAAGCTCTGCTTTCTCATCTGTAAGGTAGGAAAAATAATACCCAATATGTGGAGTTCATGTGGATTACATGACATAATTGATATAGAATGTTTCTATAGACCCTGGAACACAGTAGGTACTGGAATGTATTTATAATATACATTCTATAGTTATAATACTATACAATTATTTAAAAAAATAACTCAGAAAACCCACTTTTGTTTTTTTCAAAATGGGATGAGATTACAGTATACACAAATAAAATAAATTAAATAACGGAAATGAGTGAATTAAGATAAATAGAAATTAGTAAATAGAAAAGCATATCTTTGAAATTCTTAAACTTGAACCAGATAGTTTTGTGTGTATCTTCTGAAGAGTGTCATACTACCTCTGCAATTGATACCATCTCCATAATACCCAAAGGGGCACCGTCCACATTTGAAGTGACCCTCTGAGGTTGGCATGCAGGAAACACCAAAAAAACAAGATGATTCAGCACAAGGTGATATTTTGGTTGATGCAAACTTTTCTGGCAAAATAGTGACTGTTTTAGTAACCAACGATGCAAACTCATCTTTATACTGTATGTAACCTTGGGAAGACCTGTTATTTTGATAATTATATTCTCCTGTCTTTGTTTGGATGGTGCTCTGGACAACATCCTTCAATTCGCCATGGGAGCTGTTTGTGTTAGTGCTTAAAGAATTACTGTTCTTCATAGGAAATCCCATCGCATCCAGACTGAGATTTGTACTGAGAGTATGATCCACATGTTCAAAACCTGGTATCTGATAAGAAATAGCCTTCTTTGAATTATCCATTTGAGTTGTAACTGATTTCAGTGACAAGCTGGAGATGTTGGTTGTGTTCGAGAACTGTTTGATAATAGTAGCATGATTGTGGGTAAAGCTTGTACCAATTAGTGAATGCTCTGTTGATGGTGGCTGAAAATTTATATCTAAAGAACCAAAAAATAAATAGAAATGTTAGTCAATAGCATTTATTAATATTCTATTCTACACACAATATTTGGCATTGAGTAATTTATTCCTTTACTTAGTGTCTGCATTATGTCTAACACTATACTAGGAGCCACGCAGTAATAAGAAGTCATGACACTGTCATGCTTTCCATCTATTTGGACACACAAGTTAACAGATAATGTTAAATAGCATTAAAGTTAAGAAACAACAATTAGTAATTTTATTAATATTTAAAATAACCAACAAACATTTTTTAATCACTGAATACACATTAGCCTAAAAGCAAAGGAAAGCACAGCCTTATCCCTAAGCAACTCCAGAGTATTGTCAAGGATATAGACATGTGATCAACTCATTATGATAATCTCTGACACTGTGAAGTGACAACTATGACAACTATGAAATAAAGTCTACAGGAACACAGAAGAGTGAGTAAGTAATTTTGCCTGGAAAGGAGAAGACAGGAGCTATTAATATAAGAGATATCTAAAAAATTAAAAAATAGAATCACGAAGAGACATTTGCTCACAGATATTAAAATGTAAAAATAAAGCCTTGCTAATCAAAACAAAAATGTATTATTTGCATAGAAAAAAGACTTTTAGACAATAAAAATATAACAGAAAGCTCAGAAATACCTCTCACTAGATAAAGGAATTTCATAAATAAAAAATGATATTTAAATTCAATGTGATTTATTTTATAAATGATACAACATAACTGCTATTTATCTGGAAGAAAAACTGTTGAGTGTCTGCCTCCCATCATAAAGTAACAAATTTCAGATGGATTAAAATCTAAATGTAAGAAATAAAATAAATATTCTGAAAGATAATTTAATAGTCCATACACGTAACTTAGAAGTTGAAAGATCCTTGTAAGCAGAAGCTATAAATAAAGATTTAAGATATATTTATTTGACACATAAAATTTTAATACTTCTGTATAAATAATTAAATTGACTGAGGAAGAGGTAGAAAAGTCGATAGAAATAGAAAAACAATCTAAAATTACTCCCCAAAATGATGGTAGGACAGATGATCTAATAGAAAAATTTAACTAAATAATTAAGGAAAAAGTATTTTAAAAATTGTTGGAATGCACAAAAAGAGATGAAAAGTTTTACAAGCATTTGATCAAATGTTTGATCAGAGTGGCAAACATCTGATCAGAGTGGCAAAATCCTATAGTTAATATTATTTATGAAGTTATATAAAAAATTTAAATGAAACACTGCAAACCAAATGCAGCATTGCAATTATGGAATAATACATGAGGATTAGACTTGTATCTCTGTTAACTGCATGATATAATTATTATACATAGAAATATTGATGAAGAAAATAATATAAAATAATTCCAAAGTATAATTTGATGTATCAATTCATGATTTAAAATATTCTGAAAAATTTAATCTAAGGAAATTTTGTTAACTGAAATTATGGCAAGTAATAAATGATGTTAAAAAAGCATTATATTATCATATTACAAATAATTATATTATTTAAAACCCACTCCTGATTTAAAACTAAAGAGAATTCTGAAAAAGTAGCAAATGAAAGGACAATCTCTTAATTGGATGAAGAGTATCTAGCAGAAACTACAATGATGTCGTAGTCAATGGTGAAACATGAGAAGAATTTTCTTTAAACCCATTAAGAAAAAAGCTCTCCCATCCCTATGGGCTTTGTACTTCATTACACTGAAAGGATAAATTTGAGAGCCTGGGCTCTGTGGTTAGATCACTCAGGCTCAAATCTCTCTTCTGTAATTTAAAACTGTAACAGATTACCTAACTCATCTATGCTTCTGTTTAAACACCTATATAATGAAAATAATAACAGTTACTGTAAATAGCTATTGTGAGGATTAAATGATATGATATGCAAAAAGAGTTTGCCTAGTGCTGGCACATTATAAGATTTATAGACTAATTTTATAGATTTGTAGACTAAATCTCACTTAATATTAAGATAATAAAATAAAAAGGAATAGGAGAAAAAATTTACTATCTGCAAAAAATATTGTCTGCTGATAAAATCAAGAAAGAGAATCCACTATAAAAAAATAGTGTAAATCAGAGTTCAGTAAGGTGACATGAACAATATTAAAATCAGGACAGTTTTCCTCTATTCTGGGAATCAATACTGATATCTTGGAAGATAACCCATTCATATTAACAGCTGATATTACAGAATACAAAGGCATAAAGAAAGCTAATCTGAAATGTGCAAGCACTTTATGAAGGCAATCATTGAATGTTATTAAATAAAATGAGTGCTATTAAGAAAGCACTAAGAAAAGGGAAAGGGCTTGTTAAATAATGAATTTCTTATCATTTTAGGATTTGAACAGATATTGGATAACCAATTCTCAGGGATTTATAGACTGTAATTTTGAAATGGTCACCTCCAAGCATAAGTTTTTTTGAACTCAACTTAAATGATGCTTTGTTCATTATACAACATGAACGCATTTTTCTAGAATATAAGCCAGAGGATTCAATAAATTAATTTATTTGCATTATATGCAAATTAATTTAAATTTAAATTGCATTATATGATATCCAGGTGATCTTTCTAAAAAAAAAAATCTGAGGAATAAATATGTTCATCTCCTAGAAAACAAATGGGAGGTATTACTTGTCATTAGATTTTAACAATGATTATTAATCACTAAAGGCGTTTCTGTTTGTTGGCTTAACATGCCTCTCTCTCTGTTTGGTATTTTTATCATCCTCCTCCTTAATTACACTTTTGTCAGACCTTGTGAGAACCACTGCTTGTGTAGTAAATTCATTTAAAATCTCTGTTTCAACCGTAAATAAATACATGAAAAACAGATCAAACTATTATAAAACCAAAGCACTGTGAATAAGAACATATGATACAAATACCACTTGGATTGGACTCTGCAAATTAAAGAACTAGCTTTAATGTCATCTCTTCAGCAAACCTTTCTGGTGTGGCCTGAGTTTTGCCCCCGCTTCCCACCACCCAAATTCGCACGTTAAAGCCCTAGCCCTAAATATGATTGTATTCAGAAATAGAGTCTTTAAAGAGGTAATTAAGATTATGTGAAATCATAAGAGTGGCACCATAATCCAATAGGATTTGTGTCTTTGTAAGAAGAGGAAGAGATACCAGGAGAGCACACATACAGAGGCAAAACCCTGTGAGAAGGCAGTCATCTGCAAGCCAGGAAGAGAGGTCTCACCAGAAACCAACCCTATCAGCACATTGATCTTGAACTTCCAGCATTCAGAACTGTAAGAAAATAAATTTATGTTGTTTAAGCCACCCAGTGTGTGGTATTCTGTTATGGCAGCTCAAGCCAGTGTACCTCTCTTCAGTCCCTCGCCCCCCCCATCCATTTCATCCATCTGGGTTTCTCCCACAGAACTTTGCCCTTCATGCCATTGATTCTTACGTGTCTCTTTCCCCCACTAGTCATCAATAATCTCAGCAATAAGAACTATGCTTTATTTATTTTTATATTCATCAATGCTGGTGCCTCCCATAAAACTAAGTAAATGCCACCAACAACCAATTCTTTGGTATTAATAGGCCTGGTCCCATAATACACAAATGACTGACAATGTTAAGAAATGTATTAAAAAAAAAAAAAAAAAAAAAAAAAGAAATGTATTAGACGCTCATGTGTAACAGGATTTGATTCAACTTGCTTCCCTGTTAAATTCCACTTGATAAATGTTTTATTGATGGAATGGGCTTCTTTGTTTTGAGTAGAAATATTTTATCAATAGATCACTCCATTGCAAAGAGTGGAAGGTGTGACTATGAGGAATTGGTATATTGAAGGGAAAATGTCAGTCACTGAAACAGCAGGAAATTCCCCTACCATCCTGCACCGTGTGGCTGGTGTCTGTGACTTCCAGTGCTAGACAAGCCCACACCAATTTGAAGTACAAGGTGTATTCTATCATTAATACATATTTTTCATCAAAATGGAGTCCTACTCACTTAATTATACCAAAGATATGGATCTTTGATACCATCTTCTATGACTTAATTTTCTCTTTTAATCTTTTAAACTGTTAAAGTTTGTCAATTATTTTTGTCCACTTTCCTCTAAATCTAGGTGTTCTCCCTGAATAATTCCATCCCCTCACTGATGACCCTAAGAATTATATCTTTCACTTAAACCTCCTTCCTGAGATCTGCATGGTTATTCCATAGTCACCTCAGTTTCTATGTATCCAAACTGAATGCATCATCATTCCCTACCAAAACAACTTCTTCTTCCTATATGTTGTGTGTATGTCTTAGTCCACTTGGGCTGCCACACCGAAATACCACAGACTGGAGGTTTAAACAACAGAAATTTATTTACCATTCTGGACACTGGGAAGTCCAAGATCAAGGTTCCAACCAATTCAGTTTTTGGTGAGGGCTCTCTTCCTAGCTTACAGACAGCCACTACTTTCTTGCTATGTTCTCACATGGCAGAGACAAACAGAGAGGGAGAGAGTGAGAGGGAGAGATCTGGTGACTTCTCATATAAGGACACTAATCCTATTGGATCTGAGCTCTACCCTTATGATCTCATTTAACCTTAATTACTTCCTTGCTCCAAATACAGCCACACTGGGAGATAAGGCTTCAATATATGATTTGGGGTTGGGGAGAACAGTTCAATCAGTTCATAGTAATATAAATGATCATTCTACACATCCATTATCTAAAATCAAACACCTAAAACTTAATGAATCTCTTCGCCTCACCAAACTAATCCCAATCACTGACCAAGTACTATCAACTTGCTTCTTTAGTATCCCTTTCATCATTACCACCTCATCTTAGGCCAGTCTATTTTTATCTTTTTTTCTGTATATTTGGCATATTGTCTTAATTCTTCTTTCTACCTTCAGATTTATACATTTCCTTACCCACAGTGGTGCACCCTCCACACTACTCCTTACATAAACTTTCTCAAATATAAACTTTATCATGTTGTTTTCTTACTTCTTACTTTAAGGGACTTCCCAATGGCTTTTCAGTGTACTAACTGCTGGCCACCTCTCTAGCTTCAACTCTTATAGCAGCTCCCCTGACCTCCTATACTCCAGAGACACTGAACTCTTCATAGGAGTTCAGTGATGTTACAAGGAGTGCTGTGATGTTACTTGCCTTTATACTTTTGCTCATGCTGTTCCTTCTGCCTGGAATGCCTTTCTCTCTCTTCTCATGTTTCTAGTATAGTCTAGACACTTCCCTATTAAATTTTTTATTATTCCTCCAGGTAGACATGATTCCCTGTGTAGTATTCCTACTGAACCCTCTAGGAACTTCTATCAAAAGACAGAAAACACCTTATTGTACTATGCAATTATTAATCATATTTCCTCTATTATACTCTAAATAGCTTATTAAGTCAGAGGTCATGTCTTATATATTTTTGCATCCTCTGCACCTAGTTCAGTGCATGACCTTTAATATATGTATAATGAATAAGTGCATGAGTAACAGATAGAATGGAACTGTGTGATTTAAATTAATTAAATGCAGCAAAAAAAATCTCGTAGCAGAAAGTAGGGACTTTTACCATGACATATTTTTCCATCACCATAAAATCCTGTTGGACATGAACCACAGTGATAGGAACCAAAGGTATTCAGGCATTCTACTCCTGCAAAGCAAGGCTTGGAATCACACTCATCAACATCTTCCTGGCAATTTTTGCCTACACAAAATAAAGATCAAGTTCAAATTATTTAATTTGAAAAATATTATTTGACTTCTCATTATGTGACCTATACTCTTTATGTATATCCTCCTTACCACAAGAGTTGTTATGCATTATGAGAAAAGAAGTGTGCTGTTTTTAAAATTTACTATATAATCAAATAGAAAATCATTAATCAGATTTCATTTAATATTAAACCAGACCCTTCAAGTATATAAGAATTTTCTCATAGATGACTTAAGAAATCTATTAATATTTAGCACAAAAAGTTATCATATTATAGCAGTAATTTATACTTTGTTAAAAAAACTCAATGATTTAAAAATATATATATAAAGTGGTTTCCTGCTTAGATTAAGGACAAATTATTTAGTCCAGTTATTGCATTGGCTCTGAAAATTCAATAAAATTTTATAACATGTTAGGAAAGTCAGTCTTTCTTCAAAATTTTTTGAGATAAATTGGTGCCCTTTGAAATGCTTAACAATTTATTTGAATGAGTAAACTCACAGTCATTTATAGATGGTTGCCCTTATTATACTAAAATTCATGAAGCAATCAACATTTGAATTTTTCAAATATAGTCTACAGTACAGTAGAAAACAGAAATCTATATTCACAGTTACAAATGATAAATTTTTGCTTTAAAATACTGCAGAAAATTAGAAGACACATAAATATTTTGCTTAGTTCTCCTGTAATGTTAAAATAGGTATCTTCAAGAAAATATCATCTCAATAACTGTATATTTACTAACTTAATCTTTATATCTATTTAACTTTAAAAATATTGGTATTAGTTTGTTTAAAAGCCTTAGGAAATTAAAGGTTGTTAGTCATACTTGTTTCTGTAATCAGACATTTTAGGCTATATTTGTGATAACTTTTACTATATTTTTTTAAACATGTATTCAAATCTTTAGGACCATACATTTGCGTGAGTAATCTGTAGATGAGTGTTTAAAGGAGCTTTCCTTTCTAATTTGTTACTGTTCTAATTTTGTTCATTATGAAATAAAACTTACCTTTGAGCTCAGGTGGACAATCACAGGAATAACTGTGAAAACTACTAATACATTTGCCAAGGCCACAGGGGTTTGATTGACACCCACTGACATCCACTTCGCAAAGATTGCCCTGGAAGCCAGGCAAGCAGACACATGAGTACATTCCACGCCCTGGAGGAAATTTCATATCAGACACACAGGATCCACCATTCAAGCAATCACAAGACTTCACAGTCACCTACCAAAAAAAAAAAAAAAAGTAAATGCTTTATTTTTCAATAAGATCATCTTCAGTTTATACCCCCCAAATCATGCCAGGCATGTATGTTTACTTATAAGTATAACCAAATCACACATATTTACTCTCTATATATTTATTTAGTATAGAATGATACATAAAAAATAGTTTAATAAGACAGTATGTCCACTATCAACAGCATAGCCACAATATAAATGCTAGGGATAACATTTTTGAAGATATTACAATATGATCAGCTTCTACAATGCAAGCAGAGTATCTGAAAAAAAATAATTAAATTGGAAAGCAGTTAGTCACCTGGGTTATCCCCAAATTTAGAGAGCATATAATCACTTGAATTACTGTGTTAACGTGGCATAGAATACAGTTGCTCTTCATAATATTGCTTCTGGGTGGAAATGTGTCCCAAGTTTCAAGTGAATAAAGGACACAAAACCAGTTTATAAGTACTAAGCGCTCATGACTGACATAACCAAAAGAAAAGTCAGTAAAGAAAAGAATTATAGGCCGGGCGCTGTGGCTCACGCCTGTAATCCTAGCTCTTGGGAGGCCGAGGCGGGCGGATTGCTCAAGGTCAGGAGTTCAAAACCAGCCTGAGCGAGACCCCGTCTCTACTATAAAAATAGAAAGAAATTAATTGGCCAACTGATATATATATAAAATTAGCCGGGCATGGTGGCGCATGCCTGTAGTCCCAGCTACTCGGGAGGCT